TTCTGTCAGTGATGTTAAAAGAAAAGGGAGGGTCTGCCACAGCCAAGTACTGGGTTAAGCTACCACCAACCCCAGCATCCCATCCCATAAGGCATGGGTTTCAGTCCTGGCTATTCAGCTTCAGACCCAGTTCCTTGCCAACACTCCTGAACAAGAAGCGAGATGGTCTAGTTGACTCAGTGCCTAAACCCACTTGGGAGACCCAGATGAAGCTCCTGGCTTCTGGCTTGGGCCTGGCCCAGTACTGGTCATTAGGGCCATCTGGTCAGTGAACCAACAGGCTGAAGACATCTCTCTCTCCCTTCCTCTAACTCTTTCAAAGAAATCTTACAAAAAAGAAAAGTATAATTTATTTGGACCCAGGATTGAAAAAAGGTTAGTATCAAAACTATTATTTCAAAGGCTTTCAAAGTTTTCATCGCAATAAGAATTCCACAAAATCCACTTAGCAGTCTGCATTATTTAGGGAAATAACGTGAGCAGAGTCAGCACCAAGTTAACCCACAAGGCTACAGCTGCCACTCAGACATTACCTCTTTCCTTCTACAGCTGGGGAGGCCTTCCTGAACCAGCCTTTCCTAATCCCTTACACCCAGCTATGGCCACAGCTTCCCAGCCCGACAAAGGTGGACCCCAGTCTCCTTTCCAACAGTCCAACCCAGTCTCTACCGCCCATCTCAGTCTGCCAAAATTCACAGCAGGGAAAAGGGATGGTAAGTGAACTATGTTCTTACAGCTCCTTGCCCCTCCTCTGTTAAATACCCTTGGAAGTCAGAACTGCTTCTTCTGAGCCATTTTAGGACACAAAGGCAAACCACGCCTGGACACTCTCAGCATAAACCTGTCCTTCCATCCCTAGGCAACCTCTCTCCTCTCAAACACAACACGCAGCCAGCCCAACCCTCCGGCTGGCCAGAATTAATCTGAAATAAACTGAGTCACTTCACTTTCAAAGTCACATTACTGAGCGGATGGAATTTTAAAATAACGCCCTCTCCATCCTCAGCAGTGGAGTCTGACATCCTTCCAACATGTCCAGAGAACAGAGAACAAACATAAGCCTTTAAACAAGAAGCAAACAGGCAGGGGCCAACGCTGCAGCCCTCAGAGTACAGGCACCACCTGCGATGCCAACATCCAATGAGCACTGAATGGAGTCCCAGCTGCTCTGCTTCTGATCCAGCTTCCTGCCCATGTACCTGGGAGGGCAGCCCACGGTCCCATGAAGATTCAGTGGGGATGATGGGATGGACTCCAGGTTCCTGGCCTCAGCCTCGCCCAGCTGCATCTGTGTGGTCATCTGAGGAGTGAACCTAGGGACAGACGATCTGTTTCCCTGTCTCTCCCCTTCTAACTCTACCTTTCAAACATAAAGAGTAAATCTAAATATCATATATTTTTTCTAAGATAATATGATGTCAAATCTAAGGACCTCACATGTGAACTTTACCTTAATTCACTTTCTAGTTACTTGTACCTTTCATAATTAAGATCTTGTGACATAATTCATCAATCATTCATAAGAGACTAATTGTTTATACTCATCTGAGATTGTTACTGACCCTTCTATCACTGTTGTTGCTACTGCCCATAAGTACCAAGGATCTAGTCCTCACTGCACCTTCATTAGTGCCTTGGGACATGCGCTGACATTTATTCCTACGCGAAGATGCTGGACACTCTGTCATCACCCTAGCGCCACACCGACACCTGTGTCATTTGTTCACCAACCCCACGGTGCATGAAGGTTCACCACCCTTTTTCTCCCTTTTACTTCTCCCTGTGGTGAACTGTACTCAAGGGGCTAGCTACATCATGGAAATGCAGTGGAAATTACTATGTTCAAAGGTGGAAGCAGAGCAGTCCTTATCCATGTACTACAAGGATGGAGTAGCAACACAATGACTGACAAATTCCTACACTGATGAGACACCCCGTGGCAGCATAATGAACGTGTGAAAATTCACCCAAGAAACCTATTGTACGACTGGAAGGGAGGAGGGAGGGGAGGGAAAAAGGAGACCCTGGTGTCAACTAAACTGTATCTAAAAACAATTTTTAAGTCAATCTAGAGAAAAAAAGGAACCAACCAGTAACCAGTGATGAGGTCTGGCAGGCCTGGCACCAGCGCAGACCCAATCTGAGTCTGGGGGCTCCTAAACAGCTTAGCCCTGACCAGACCCACAGCCCGGAGAGGACACAGTGGATCTTCAAGTCTGGAGTGGAAGCCTGGAGAACACTTTAGCCCATGAACAAGAAGGCTCCTCCTAGCAGCCTCCCCTCTTTGGGCCAGCAGCTATTCACATTTCCAAAGCTAAGACTCCTGCCAGCACTTCCACTGCCTGGTGGGAATGAGGTCACAAGCAGCGCTAAGTCCACCTCAACCCAGCTCTTTCTGAGCAGAAGGCAGGATTCCCACCATGCACTATACACGCAGCTCATAAAACAGGAGATCAACTGGGCAGACAGAGCACTGGGTCCATTTCTATAAACAAAATAAATCCCAACATGAACACTGATTTTTGTACTTTAATCAATCCTTCCGCTGCAACTAAGGTTCCCTAGGTACCCGCTCTTCCACAGAAATCATGTTTTACAAAATCCAGATCAAAGATGAGCTCCAATATGGGCCACCCCACCCCAACACACACACACTGTTAACAGGACTCTGGTCTAACCAACCAGCTACTACCCCAATGCGCATAGCGCACACACACACACACACACACACACACACACACACACTCTCTCTCTGCTGTATCAGGTCTGTGTGTGTACACACACACACTTAACAGGACTGCTCTGACCAGCCAGTGGTGATACTGCAGAAACCATCCCAAGAGGCCCTGGTGGCTCCTGCATCCCTGTAAGGATCACATATATTTAAACCATTGAAAAGTCCAGGACTCACCCACTAGGAAATTCACATTTTCACGAATATACAATCCACATGAAATGTATGCTTAATTTGTGGTACACAATCTTACAGTTCTGTCATCTAAAAAAACTCACTGCATTGATTGTAAATCCCCACAAATTATCATTTCCAGTTAACCAAATGCGTGAACTGTTAAGAAAAACCATTAGCAGAACAGCTAAGGCTTAATCTCAGGCATTTCACAGGACAGAGACAGCACAACTTGTTGGCGATCCCGTACTGCAGCCCAGCATGCTCGGGAGCTAAGCCCCACCAAGGCGCCCTAAGCTGGAGGCAGCTGACTCACAGCAGAGCCTTCGAGGTGACCAGAGTGTGGCACAGCATGGCAAGCTGCCCCACTCCTCTTTCACAGCTCCCTGTTCACAGGCCTGGGAGAACAACGGATGTGGCCTAAGTGCTGGGAACCCTGCCACTCACCTGGAGACCTGGGTGACACCAGCTCCTGCCTATCGCCCTCTCAGTCGTAAACCAGTGCGTGGACAATCTGCCTTCTGCCTTTCAAACAGATAAACGGAATGCCATAATGGGCCCCTTACAATGGCTCAACTAGCTATTCCTCCCCTTCAAGCGCTGGCATCCCATAGGACACCGTCTCGCGTCCCAGCTGATGCAGATTCCTGCTTCCGGCCTGGGCAAAGCAGCCATGGGAGATGAGAAGGAAGCTCCTGGCTCCTGATCGGCTCAGCTACAGCCACTGTGGACATTTGGAGAGTGAACCAGCAGATGGAAGATGCTTTTCTGTCAAATCTGCCTTTCCCAGCAGCCCTGCTTCCCATCCAGCTCCCTGCCTGTGGCCCGGGAAAGCAGTCCAGGACAGCCCAAAGCCTTGGGATCCTGCACCCGCGTGGGAGACCCAGAAGAGCTACTGGCTTCAGTTCAGCGCAGCTCTGGCTGTTGCGGTCACTTGGGAAGTGATTCAGCAGATGGAAGATCTTCCTCTGTCTCTCCTCCTCTCTGTATATTTGACTTTGTAATAAAAACAAACAAATCATTCTTTTAAAAAATCTGCCTTTCCAATTAAAAAAGAAATGTGGACCTGGCGCAGTAGCTTAGTGCCGAAACACTGGCCTTGCATCTGCTGGCGTACCATATGGGCACCAGTTCGTGTCCCAGCTGCCCCCACTTCCCATCCAGCTCCCTGCTTGTGGCCTGGGAAAGCAGTCAAGGTCGGCCCAAAGCTTGGGACCCTGCAGCCGCATGGGAGACTCGGAAGTTCGGCTTCGCATCTCCGCGGCACCGGCCATTGGGCTGTTTGGGGGCTGAACTAGTGGATGGGAAATCTGTCTCTCCTTTTCTCTGTAAATCTAACTTTCCAATAGAAAAATATCAATCTTTAAAAAACAGATTTAAAAAATGCTAGCACAAACCAAGACAACTTGAGAACTGAGAACTCTGAATTGGGTGGCGTTCCTAATCAACAGGACACAAACAGGCCAGGACTTCCCCACGGACTGCCAAACCCAAGGCAGTGCCAGGCTTCTAAGAGCACGGTCACCCATCACTCACACCTAAAGGCAATCCTCCCACAGAAATCAGGAAGCAATCTTACTCTGCTCCTTGGCAGCTTTTTCAAATACCAATCAAGTCAGATTAGAAACGAACTCACACCACTATTCAGTGACTTACAACCTATTTCATTCACTTTGAGGTGCTTCCCAATGCATCTAAAGAGGCAATGGCAAGGAGAATCTTGAAATAGTCTTACAAAAGGACAGATGCTCTAAGTTCTAGAAAACTACTTTTCGCTAGCTAGTTTTTGCCCCCCGCCCCCCGCATTCAGTGTCCCAGCCAGGCCTACAACCCCGAGGAGCGAGGGCAGCAGCACCGCTTCCAGGGCGCTGGGGACAGGAGGGCGGCAGGGCCACGGCCACAGGACGACGCACGGGCCTTGGAGGGCAGCTCCCGCAGGGCAGGGGCCGCAGTGCCCGGCCTCCAGCAGGCAGGGGCCGCCCCCTGGGCACTGCCCGCGCACGGGGAGCCCCTGGCCGACCCTGGCCCACCCTGGCGCCGCCCGCCCCCCTCCAGCAGCGGGGACCCCTCGGGCAGCCGCGCCCCCTCGGACCTCCTGGATGCGCTTCCGCGCGCGCTGCAGCACCTCCTCGTAGCCCTTCTGGCGCAGCTCGCTCAGGCTCTCGTAGTACTCCTCGGGGTCGTCGCTCTCGGTGAACAGCACCTGCGACAGGATCTTCCAGCCGCACGTGTCCAGGCCGTGGCCCAGGTAGACCTGCAGCTGGTAGCACAGCGCGTCCACCTCCTGCTCGCTCATCTCCGGGGCGCCCCCGAACAGCACGCTCCACATGCCCGAGGGCTCCTCGGGGAACAGCGGCAGGCACGGCTCGAGCTGCGAGTTGACGGCGCACAGCTGCTGGTGCACGGCGCGCAGGTCCTGGAAGGAGAAGAGGCCGGCCCAGCTGCAGCCGTCGGCCGCCTCGTCCCGCGTCTCGGGGTCCTCCGGCGCGCGCCCCGGGGCGGCCGCGGCCCTGGCGGGACCGGCGCGGGCCGGGGAGCCGGGCCCGGGCGACGAGGCCTCGGGCCTGCCCGCCGCGCCGCCCTGCCCGCGGGCCGCGTCGGCCGCCGGCTCCCGGGAGCCGCTCCTCTGGCGCTGCGCCGTGCGGTTGTGGCAGGTGATGGCGAACTTGCCCTCCACCTCGTTCCAGGCCACGATGAACACGAACTTGTGCTTCTCGCGCTCGTCGAACACGTGAGGCCGCACGGCCACCCAGTCCGACTCGAGCGTCTCCTCGAGCGCGAAGGCCATGGCGGCGGCGGGGCCCGCGGGCAGCCTCGGTGGCGACGCCGCGCCCGCTCACGCAGCCATCTTAGCGCGCCCCGCCGGGCTCCTTTGTGGCGCGTCCTCTGCCCGGAGCAGGTGGCTCACATGGCCACGGGCGGCCGCCGCCTGCCCCCCGAGGCCGCGCCGAGGCGCCCGGTGTGTGGCCGCGAGGGTCCCGGAGCCCGCCGCCCGGCCTCGTCGCCGCCGGCCGCCGCTCTCCCTCGTCGGCCTCGTCGCCCTCCCGCGGCCGCGGCCCGCGCCGACCGCCTCACGGAGCCCCGCGTCTACTAAACTCGGCGCCTCAGCATCGCCTCAGTGTTGCCGTCCGGCTGCTGACGTCGGCGGCTCCACGAGGGGCGTAAACACGGGCACGTGCCGCACGCTAGTGACGTGGCAGCGGCGGCGGCGCGCGTCCCGCCCGCCGGCGGTCGGCCACGCCCCCGCCGGCGGTCGGCCCTCCCACCGCGCCGCCACGCCCCCGCGCCTAGGCCACGCCCCTGCCGGCGGTCTGCCCTCCCGCCGCACCGTCACGCCCCCGCCGCCTAGACCACGCCCCGCAGCAAGGCCACGCCCCCTGCCCGCCAGCCGCAGGCTTTGGGACGCTCCCGGTGAGCGCGCTGGCCATTCTTGGAGCCTGTGCACACCTGCCGCACAGGTGACCTCCAGACTCCCCGGAGGGAGAAACGGGGGCGCAGGCACCGAGACGTTTCCAGCTCCGGGCCCCTCGGCACGTCAACTACGCCGCCTTTTTTGTGTATATGCGTTCTTTCACTTTGATCCACCCGTCAAAGCCAACTATGCTGGCTTCCGTAGCCTGTTCCAGCCCCTGAATACAGAGGTCCAGCCCTGTCAGTCAGCCGGACATGTACCTTTAATTGTTTTTAATGTTTAAAAATGTGTTTGAGAGGCAGAGACAGAGATGGACGTCCCATCCAGTAGTTTTATTTCTCCAACCCCTGTCACCCCCCGCAGCTGGGAGCTCAGCTCAGTGCAGGCCCTTGAGTGTCCAGCTGCTGCCTCCCAGGCGGTACGAGAGGGGAAGACAGGGAGAAGAGGCTGGTGCTGATGGGAGCTACCCCTAGGCCAACCAGAGCGGGCATGGAGCGATTCTCTCCACCGAGGAAGTCCTTTCCATAAATGGCTGCAGATTGCTAGCTGTCCTCATTCAATACAGCACACAGGTGCAAAGAACGGGTTTACAGGGGATGTTGTTATGTACATTGGCCTTGTGATATTTGTACACAGATATAAAATGGTGGCACAACAGGGCTGAGAAAATCCGTCAGTGATTCTACAGGCCTTTTCAGCCCAGGCCTCCAGCTGCTGTCTTTTATCAGAAGTAACATGTCTTGGAGCTGATTCTGTGGCGTTCTAGGCTAATTCTCTACCAGTGGCCCCCACGTCAGATTTGAGTACCAGTTTGTCCTGACTTGCCATCCAGTTCCCTGCTAGTGCACCTGGGAAAGCAGCAAAGGAGGGCCAAGTGCTTGGACCCCTGTACCATGTGGGAGACTCAGAATAAACTGGCTTCCAGCTCTGGCCGCTGTGTCATTTCAGGGGCGAATCAGCGAACAAAACAATTCTTTGTCTCCTTCATCTGTAACTGCCTTTAAAATTTCAAAAAAAAAAACTTTTCAAAAAATTGAAAACAAATGTGCTTTATTTCCTCCTGGGAATTGTTATCTTAGCTATAAAAAGACACAGCTGTCTGAAGAGCCTGCATAGGTTAGGCTCACTGGCAGCTGGTGGCAAGCAGGAGGGCTGTGGGCCTGCAGACAGGACCACGAGTCTTTGCGCCCCACTCTGAGCTGGCAGCCTTCTAGGCACCTGATGAGCAGCCTGGACTGTCTCTTCAGCTGTGCCATGTGGTCTCCAAAACCTAGGAGGGCCTAAGGGCCATGCACAGCCTTGGCTGGTTTTGTTTTGAAGGACTTCTTTATTGAAAGACAAAGGCAGAGAGAGATGCCTCCAATTGGCTGGTTCACTCCCCAAATGGCCACAATGACTGGAGCTGGGACAATCTGAAACCAGCACCCTGGAATTCCACCTGAGTCACTCGGATGCATGGCAGTATCTGAAGCGCTTGGGTTACCTGCTCTTTCCAAGATGCATTATTAGGGGAACTGGATTGGAAAAGGAGCAGCTGCGACTAAAATCAGCATCCATGTGGGATTCTGGCATTGCAGGTGGAAGCTTGAGCACAGAGACCATATCTGACGTGACATGGCCCATCCAGCTGCCACAAGGACCACAGAGCCAAGATGTGATGGGTCCACCCCCTGTCCCTTGAGGAGGAGTACTAATTTCTGCCATCCCTCTCCAGAGTGGCACTGGCTTGGATTCTCTGTCTTGGTGGGAGGGAGGCAGCTCCAGCCTTCAGCCTGGCCCTCCATACTTTAATGGAACTTACCACGAAGGCCCGTGTGCCACAAATGCCAACCCCAGGTGCGTGTCTGGTCAGGGAGCCAGCACAAAGTGCTTTCTCTGATGCCCTGGACACTCTGCCCACGAGTGTGCTTGCTGTCTGGCCCCTGTATCTCACTCCGACACGCCTGTGCGGAAGCTGCTCATGGTTGGGTGTCACTGTCCACTTGGATCCTGTGTCCAGGGAGTAACATGTGCCTCGGCCTTCCTGCACATCCTCTCAGCAAATGCAGGAGGAGAAACGTGGGCTAAAAACGATACGGATATTCCAAGTGACCATCTCATTCCTGTAAGTTGTTTTTTGTGTTCTGTATTAACTGCTGCATATCAGAGAAATGTATTGGTCTTTTTGAGATAGGCTTATTTCACTTTGCATAATAGTTCCCAGTTGCATCCATTCTATTGCAAAAGATAGGGTTTCCATTTTTTGGAGGTCAAGTAGTATTCCCTAGCATATGTAAACCATGTTATCTTCATTCAATCATCAGTTAATGGATATCTGGGTTGGTCCCATATGTTAGCTACTGTGAATTGAGCTGCTTACAGATAACTCTCATATGGTGATTCCATCTCATCTGGGTAGAAGCCTAGCAATGGGACAGCCAGGGTGCAACTGTTTTGGGTCTGGGTGTGTTATGGAAATGGGCTCACCTCTTGCAGGTCCACTGTGTGTCCCGCCCATCACTCAGGGCTGTTTCCCAGTCAGGCTCCCACCTCCAGCTCACTGCCTGCTTCTTTGAACCCTTCAGGTGTCAGTGATGCCAGCTGGACTTGAAGAAGTAAGGGATACAGGGAAGAAAATCTGTGGGAGAAAAAATGGGCCCAGGACATGACCCTGTCACTACTAGGGTGGGGACAGCCTCAGTGCATGCAAGGCAGGGGGGCAGCGAGCACCTGCACCCTTCAAGCTGGGCTGCCTGCTCTGCACATTAGAATGCTGGGTGCAATGGATTGCCAACCTGCTGCCCGAAAGCCAGCCCAGCCTGGAGCCTCCCAGAGCTCTGCCTGCCCTCCCCCTCCCTCAGGCCAGCCAAGTTTATGTGGGATAAGATCCTGTTTTTCAGGTCTGGAGTACCTAGGAGGAACAGGCTCAATTAAGTATAAGAAAAACAAAAAACAATCCTTGAGTGTTTGCAAAACACTGCCTGAGATAACCGCGGGGAAGTGAAGCTGTCCCCTTCCCTTGGCCTAGTAGATGCTGAGGCTCTCCTGGAGAATCCCATCTTGTGCGTGTTACCCTCTGCCTCCCTGTGGATAATACTTCAGCATATCTTGAATTCTCTTTGAGTTCTTGTTACATTTTTTTTGTTTGAAAGAACGAAAATGAGTACGCAAGACCTCCAGGTCCAGCCTCAAATCCTATCCATGGCGAAGGTGGGGAGGGAGGCTGGGCCAGGGCCAGAGCTCAGTCCAGGAACACAAGGCTGGAGAAACCTGGCACTCAGCACTCAGAAGCAGTTTTTGGCATCCTAAGTAGAAGGCTATAGGTCCACTTCCTCTCTTTTTGTTCTTTTCATTCAATTATATGTTGTCTATGTGAAACTCACCTTAAAAAAAATTTTTTTTTAAATTTGTTCTCATTTTATTTGAAAGACAAAGAGACACACAGAAGAACACAGCTCTTCCATCCATTGGTTCATTCCCAGAATGCCCAAGATAGCCAGGGACTGGCCAGGTTAACGCTAGGTACCAGCCACCAGTGAGCTTCTTGCTGTATGCTGTAGGGACCCAGCCACCAGAGCTTCCTCCCGCTGCCTCCCAGGGTACACATTAGCATGAGGCAGAGTCGAAAACTGATCCCAGATTAACTGATCAGAACTGGCGGGAGTTGAAAACTGCGGCTAGACCAAAGCGCCAAAGGCCTGCTCTGAAACTTACCTGACTACCATGTCAGGGAAGGTCCTCCAAGAAGCAGACATGACGACAAGAACAGATGTGTTCCAGATCTCAGGGAACATGACCAGGCAGCCCAAGCCAGGCAGAGCGAACGGATGGCCGTGCAGGTCGGACTTTCAAGGGGTCACGTAGTCTGGGGCAGCTTTGGCCAGGCCAGTGGAGCATCCTGTGGCCACTGGTGCCTGCTTGCAGAATAATCCGGCCTGTTTGTCTCGCTGCTGTGCTCAGCCAGTGGCTGGGGGCAGCTGTGGAAAGGCCCCCATCAGGCGTGCCAGCAGCTAGGGCTCCCTACCACCTCCCTCCCCTGCCAACTTCTCCCCTCTACTCCCCACCAGCCGCCTATGCTTAGCAATCACAGTGCTGTTCATGCCGTGTAACCCTTCTACTTCAAACTAGAAGTAGAAGGAGTGGAGAGTCCCCAGGAAGGAGTTCTTGCCTGGCTTCAAGGCTTTGGGTCCTTCTTCCATGCAGAGCCCCTACTGACTCACTCACCGGGTGCAGGAAATCTGGAGACGGCTTCAATTCCCCAAAGTGGATTCTGGAACTCACGGCTCTCAAAAGTGTTTTTGAGAAAGAGCATAGGGATGCAGCCCCCAACCTGCACCTCTCCTCACTGGCTGACCATCACGTCTGTCCTTTCACCAATATGGTTCTTTTCTACTCTCTATGACTGCAGAAGCAAATCCACTCTAACTCAAAGTCTTAAACACAGGCCGTCAGCACTGTGGCAAAGCAAGTAAAGACTTTGCCTGTGGCAATAGCATCCCATATG